AATATATGTTTGACGAGAATTCGGTGTGATTATTTGTGTTTTCATTGTATTTTAGAGTTTTCGACTCGGAAATCAACTACCTTAAATTTCGAAGTTTTTCATAATTACCCATAGTGGAAAAATTCAGTTGAAATAACTTTTTCATGGGGTGATCAATTGCTATGATTGTGAGAATAAGTAACTGAAAAACTACCACTGAAAAATAATATGCCGACGCCTATGTCCAGGCGGGATTTCCTTCTCTGTGCTGTTCCAATTGGTATTGGAAATACTATACTGAATAGCCCTAAGGCAAAGTTTCTTACGGCGAAACATCCTGGTGGCTACCAGTGACGATAACAGTGTTCCATGTAAGTGAAATTTCAATTCTTCCATCAATTATATTGTGTAGGATCTTCCATTAATTATATTGTGTAGGAATCCTGCGGATGATATCTGATTCGATTCCATTACGAGTATTTGGAATACAAAAGGAGTAGAAAAAAATGTTTTTCGTATGATTCATCGTTCTGATATCAATTATTTTATTCAGAAAGACGGTGAATATGACTAATAATATAACCAAAAACAGAAACAAGTTCATAAATATGAATCAAGACAATTTGAGCCGGAACCTCTGACATCGGATAAATCCAACACAAGCACTGTTCTCAAACATCAAAATTTCAACACTCTTCTCGACGCGCATTTCATCAACCAAGTTGACGTCTTCAGGCAATGAATCACACTAATTCCTAACTTTTGAAGTGGATTCTTTTTATAACTTACAAGGTACATTTTCAATTTCAGACATGCATCAATATTTACGTTAGAAATTTGTGGGAAAATGTATTGGAAAGCTTTTAATAATTCCACTGCGATTACTACAAAGGTGAACAATGGAAGTGGACCTTTGTCGCTATTCATAAAACATATTCCACATTCCAGCGCCCTGAATAGATTTCAACATTTTCATACAGTTTCCAATTATTCTATGGCTGTTCCGCAGGGCATGCAGAACACAGGATTTTTGGGTCAAAATAGAATATGTGTTGCGTGTTCTTTGAAACGTGTTTTGATAGCTCGCTCAGTCTGACCGCTACCAGTTCAGCGGAACAAAACTTATATTGTAAGTTCACCACCGATATTAGGTTAGATATTTGGATTTTCAAAACATGTGTCCCAAAATCTGTTTTTCCAAATTTTGTTCAAGTTAGTATTCCCCGTTGCGCAGAAATTATTCCTTGCTGCCAAAAGGAAATATACAAATTCAGTAGGCTGGGTTAAAGTCTGTCACTCGGGCTAAGTATTGCGAAAAGTGCAGCCCATGAAGGTCCATGCCTGTACCAAAAATCAAATATCTGCTTTCAAAAATGACTAAAATACATGAGTACCTTCATCTTAAGTGTGCCACACTGTAAATAAATCGTCAGAGACGAATGTTCATTGTCATTTGATCAAAATCCATTACGAAAGTGACTTGTTTGAACAAAACACTTGAAAAACGTAAATTAACGAAACGAAAAACAACCAGAAAGTCGGAGCATTGCTGAAGATCTTCCAAGACCATATTTTGACAAGGAAAAACTTGATCTACTGAATGAAGATTTGAAATTTGGTTTGAATCAGTTCATCGGTATGAATATTTAGGATTAGCAAGAATGATTGTGTCTCTATAAACTTGTGCTGTATATAATTAATAACAAAAATAGTAGGTAATTTTTCAAAATTTCATATAACCTCAACATAAGTCGACCAAACTGAAATTAAACATATATGTATCTGTGAACTGTTGTTATTTTCAAATTATGACTAGGATCATCATTCACTACATAAATGTGGTTTATAATAATTATTTTTATCGTGAATTCCACGGATGTTTTGATGACATCATATCAACACAATGATAAAGGTAAATAGTATTCCACTTATTACTTTCAAAACTGACACGTGGAACCAATCTAAATAGTCGTCTTTTTTATTTTCCGATTATACTGAAAATTGATCATTTGTATTTATAACATTTTCCAAGTTGATTTTGAAACAATCCAGCAATACTCATTTGAAATAAAGGGTCAAGGTTATCATGAAACTTTATAAGAAAGGTCGACGACACATCCCCTTACGGAGAAGCCATATAAGAAATTTTATGTTATCCACAAAGTCCCTTATAAAATATAACACGAACGTTGAGACAAAATATTCAATTGGGTTGTTGCTCGAGAACACTTTTCTGTCAAACCAATGTGCTCTGCAAGAGACGTATATCCCAAAAAAGTTGATATTCGCGCAGATTCAAATGCTTCATAAGAAAGGTCGACGACACATCCCCTTACGGAGAAGCCATATAAGAAAATTTTATGTATCCACAAAGTCCCTTATAAAATATAACACGAACGTTGAGACAAAATATTCAATTGGGTTGTTGCTCGGGAACACTTTTCTGTCAAACCAATGTACTCTGCAAGAGACGTATATCCCAAAAAAGTTGATATTCGCGCAGATTCAAATGCTTCAAAATTCTCGTTGAATGCTATTTAGATTATCAATTCAT